TAACTAAACCCCCTAGGGGGCCACACCCTTATTTCATAAATCCATTGAGCCCCTGGTCCCAAGGATGTTTCATATCAAATTTAGTTCAAATCCAATCAGTCGTTCAGATAAAGGCTTTTAAAGGGAAAAGTTGACGCCTGACGCCGCGGTACGGCATAAGCTCACTTGCCCTTCAGGCAGGTGAGCTAAAAACCATAAACATTAATTGGTGACATCAGAGCGATCTATAAACATGTCAGGTGACCTTGGGTGAATATTATTATAATACTCATAAATATTTCCCCTTTGAAATAACCCTGAATGAATATAAATTGCCCTCTAAATTTTCAATGAATGAATTAAATGTTGTTTTGGTGATCCATTTTCAGTACCCCCATCTTTATATAGCCTACATGTACTATCAGAGAAAACAAAACAATCCCAGCAGTAATTCATACCTGACCAACAAGGTCTGCTAGTTTGACAACAGGTTTGCCCTTCTGGTGCTGCTGTGTAGGGGGGCTCTGTCCGTCCCAGTTGGACAGGTCCTCGAGGCTGTTGAGGTAGAGCAGCGCCTTCAGTCCCAGAACATAGTCCTCGATCAGGGTAAAGTCCTGATTCTGTACTGCACTACACACCTAAACATAACACACATAACAAAAGAGTCTATAAAAGGAACATATTCATTTTATTAACTGATACAATTTTATATCAATTTTACTTACCTTATAATGCTTATTTTGAGGAAATGTCATATCTTCACTTCACATTGATTTCTTGTACATAATACTTTTGCTGTAACAATGGTTGATGTCCATAAAATCAGGAGTAGACTTGTAAATTAATAAAGGCAGACACTTTTTACAAACCTGTAATACTGATGCTCCAGCCTGTAGAAACTGAAGACCAGCCTCAGCAGAATCAATACCTCCTGTGGCCAGAATGGGGAACCCTGGGATAGCATTAGCAATGGCTGACACCGCTCGGAGGGCGATTGGTCGAATGGCATTACCAGAAACTCCACCATATGTGGTGCGTTTAGACTTGCCAATACTTGGCCAAGCAGCTCCATCGACTTTCAGTCCCATCAGGCCAGAAACAGTGTTAGTTGCTGTGACCCCATCAGCTTTACCTACATGGTGCATAATGAGATTTGTTATGAGATCAATGCCTTAGAGTTGTAATGTATGTTCTTAAAAGACGCACGTAAAGTCAATAAGCACTACAATTTTTAATATGTCATCTTGGACACCTTATCATTAATCATTTCAATGTCCATTGACCATTTTCCCCCAAAAAATGAATATTGTCAAACTTACAATGCACTGAAGGATCATTTATGATGCAACCAAAACTACAGATCATATACTACAGTACAACAAGAGGCCCAATGGGCCTGAATAGCTCACCTGGTATTAATTTCACACTTGTAATCTTAAAAGTGGACTTATATACAGCTACATGCAAATTATCTGTGTTTGATCCATTTTAATCTATTAAATTATTTAAACATATGACGCCTGTGACCTTGGATGTTTATGGCCTTCCGTCCCAGCATACTTGGCTAAATATCATTACCCTGGACCTTTTGAATATTCAGAACAAGTCATTTAAAGATTTAAACATATTTAATCAATGTGACCTTAAATACGAGTAAAGGTCATTCATGTGAACAAACTTTGTTTCCCTTCATCCCAGCATGTTACTGGCAAAATATCATCATCCAAACCTTTTGGTTATTGAAAAGAAGTTGTTTAAAGGTTTTAAACATATTTGACCCCTGTGACCTTGAAAATAGATGAAGGTAATTCATTTGAACAAACTTGGTAGCACTTCCTCCCAGCATGTTACTGGCCAAATATCATTAGCCTATGCATCTTGGATATTCAGGAGAAGTTGTTTAAAGGTTTTAAACATATTTGACCCCTGTGGCCTTGAAAATAGATTAAGTCATTTGTTTGATCAAACTTGGTAGCCCTTTATCCCAGCATGTTACTAGCCAAATATTATCACCCAAGGCCTTTTGGTTATTGAGGAGAAGTTTTTAAAAGATGTTTAACATATTTGACCCCTGTGACATTGAAAATAGATGAAGGTCATTTGTTTGATCAAACTTGGTAGCCCTTCATCCCAGCATGTTACTGGAAAAATATCCACATCCTATGCCTCTTGGGTATTCACAAGAGGAGTCGTTTAAAGATTTTGAATATATTTAACCCCTGTGACTTTGAAAAAGGGTCAAGGTCATTCATTTAAACAAACTTGGTAGCCCTTCCTCCATGCATACTACAGGCCAAATCTCAGTATTTTGGGCATTTTGGTTATTGAGAAGAAGTTGTTTGAAGATGTTAACACATTTGACCCCTGTGACCTTGAAAGTGGGTCAAGGTCATTCATGTTAACAAACTTTGCAGCCCCTCATCCCAGCAAATTACTGAGTAAATATCATTATCCAAGGCCTCTTGGTTATTCAGAAGAAGTTGTTAAAAGGTTTTAAACATATTTGACCCCTGTGACCTTGAATATAAGTAAATGTCATTTGTTTAAACAAACTTGGTAGCCCTTTATCCCAGCATGTTACTGGCCAAATAGCATAATCCTAGGTTTCTTGGTTATTGAGAAGAAGTTGTTTAAAGGTTTTAAACATATTTGACCCCTGTGACCTTGAATATAGGTCAAGGTCATTCATTTTAACAAAAATTAGTAGCCCTTTATCCTAGCATATTACTGGCCAAATATCATTATCCTAGGCCTCTTAGTTATTCAACTGGCCTACGGGCCAGGTGAGCTAAAAAATCAGAATAAATGAATTTCCATGTATACTGTATATTACATACACATTTGACACTTTAAGTTCAGTAATGAACCAATTATATTGATTATGGAATTTGTTATAATCGATAATTGGAATCAAACAGGACAAATCGATTGATGTTTGATTATTATATATCCATCATCAGTCCATCACTGGCTTCAACTTGTCCAGGATTTTGTATTAATAATAACAGTGGCCTGACCTCAACTCTACAACCCTGAAACTCAAACTTGTTCGAGATATCATGGTCCTTTGTAATTGTGTGAAGTTTAATCAAAATCCCTCAAGGAATGAAGCCACTAGAGCGCTGACAATGGATTTTCTAAAGAAGAGATCCCAGAGGGATCTTGGCGTCCACCATTGTACCATCTTCATTAGTTCTTTGTCAGTTCGATCGTTTCTCCTCTTTTCTCTAATCTGTTTCATCGAGTTATGTAAATAATAAATGCACCTTGAGGTAACTTTTGACCCGAACTTAATACTGCTGTGAAAAAAGACAACTTTCAAAGTGAGTTTGTCCTTTCACATATTTACTAGTACAGTACTTAATGTGAAAGAAATAGAATCGATCATTGCAATATGAGAAAGATCTGTTTAGTTCTTCCTTTAGCCATTTTGTTTTTATGATCAGTCTCAAAATTTTAACATGCACAACGAGGGATCAAGGGGAACCTACATATCAAATTATAGAAAGATCCCTCAGGTTATTCCTGAGGAAATACTACTGACAAACCTTCAAAGTCAAAAATCAAAGATGGCTGTCGGTCGGCCATTTTGTTTATCTGATCAGTTTCAAAAGTAAACATGAACAATAAAGTAAAGTGGGGAGCCTTCATATAGAATTTGAGAAAGAACCCTCCAGTACTTCCTGAGAAATAGCACTAACAAACTTTAACTGTCAAAATCAAAGATTTGTTCATCTGATCAGTCTCATATGCCTCTATTCCCCCTATTGGGCCCCACCCTCTGCCCCTAGGAGGGCCACAGCCACCGTTTATACAAATTTGAGCCCCCTTGGCCTAAGGGTGCTCCAGACCAAATTTAGTCAAAACAAACTGGGCCGTTCAGGAGTAGTAGCTAGTGTTTTAAAGGAAAAGTTGACGGACGAACGGACGACGCGCTAGGTGAGCAAAAAACAAGAGGCCCAAGAGGGCCGGTATCGCTCACCTGAATATGTAAGCAGTCGTAGCAAAATATTCTCATTAAATATTATGTTGCACTAAAAATATTTCCCGCGCAAACTTTGTTGGCTCCATCTGTTGAAACTACCAGCAAAATATTATTACAAGATTCTATGCTTTTTGATTCTTTAGAAGTTGCTTGACATATTTTCCCCTGTGACCTTGTGAGTAGGTCAATGTCTTTTTCCTTCTCAAATTGGTAAGCTCTATTCCAAAAGCTACCAGCCAAATCTTATGAATCCATTCCTTTTAGTTCTTAAGAACAAATCCATTAGAATGTTGTTGACCTCTGTGACCTTGAAAGTAGGTCAAGGTCATTTTCATTCGCAAACTTTGTTGGGCTCTTTCCGTGGAAATAACCAGCCGAATATGAAGGTTCTATAACTTCCAGTTCTTCAGAAGAAGTCATTTGAAGTGTTTGACATATCTGCCTCATGTGACCTTAAAAGTAGGTCAAGGTCATTTTCATTCTCAAACTTTGTTGGGCTCTTTCCTAAGAAGCTTCAAGCAAAATATAGAGATTCTATACCTTTCAGTTGTTCAGAAGAAGTCGTTTGAAGTGTCTGACACATTTGACCCCTGTGATCTTGAAAGAAGGTCAAGGTCATTTTCTTCCTCAAATTTTGTCGGGCTCTATCCCAGGAAGCCATCAATCAAATATAAAGATTCTATACCTTTCAGTTCTTCAGAAGAAGTCATTTGAAGCTTTTGACACATTTGACCCCTGTGACCTTGAAAGTAGAACAAGGTAATTTTCTTTCTCAAACTTTGTTGGGCTCCATCCCAGGAACCAATCAGCCAAATATGAAGATTCTATACCTTTCAGTTTTTCAGAAGAAGTCAATTGAAGCTTTTGACACATTTGACCCCTGTGAACTTGAAAGTAGGTCAAGGTAATTTTCATTCTCAAACTTTGTTGGGCTCCATCCCAGGAAGCCATCAGCCAAATATGAAGATTCTATACCTTTTAGTTCTTCAGAAGAAGTCGTTTGAAGTGTTTGACACATTTGACCCCTGTGACCTTGAAAGTAGGTCAAAGTCATTTTCATTCTCCAACTTTGTTAAGCCCCATCCTAGGAAGCCATCAGCCAAATATGAAGATTCTATACCTTTTAGTTCTTCAGAAGAAGTCAATTGAAGTTTTTGACATATTTGACCTCTGTGACCTTTAAAGTAGGTCAAGGTCATTTTCGTTCTCAAACTTTGTAGGGCCCCTACCAACAAAGCTTTCAGCCAAATATCATGACTCTAGGCCTGTCCGTTCTTCAGAAGAAGTTGTTTAAAGGAAAAGTTGACGGACGAGGACGGACGGACGGACGACGGACGCCCCACCACGACATAAGCTCACTTGCCCTTCATATTTGCAGGCAGGTGAGCTAAAAATCAATGAACAGGACCCGTAAAACAGGTCCTTGATTGTTAAGAGAGGAAAACTTCTAATAGTTTCATCTTCAAAATGCTCTGTTTCAGATTCTCTTTTTCTTAGATAACCTTTGAAGCATTTCAGACAAATACTAACTTCTTCATTTGAGCAATCTATGCCACTTTTAGTCAGTATATCCAAAAGCCATTAATATTATGGATCTTTTTTACATTCATGTACCTTTACATTTACGAGATTTTGCAAAGATATGGAAAATGGCAACCTTCACCAATACATTTACTCTTCATTATGAAATGAATATTAACAAATGAGTATGAAATATCCCCTAAAAGCAAATGTATGAGATCAAATTCTAAAAAGTGACAGGGATATTACATTTGATCTTACAATTGATTGGTAACGAAAACTATATCAATCACGCCAAGTAATGAAGCAATTTGGAATTTGGATTTTTTTGTGACCTAACATGCACTGAAAGGTTTTATTGTAGGCTTGCAACGAATTTCATTTCCAATTACCTGTAATCATGTGCATTACTTTTTGGTGGACGCCAGGGAGGTGTCTTATGCCCTCACCTTTTTAGGTACACAGGATTCTTTGTTGTGCGAAATGAAAACTTTCCACCAATTGTTTTGGACTGAATTTTTGCTTACATATTTGAAACTAGATGTAACTCGAAGGGGGGCCTTCGTGAATACCGGGCCCCCGCTTTGATTGATCAGGAATATGTGGGAGTGATGGGCATGTGGATTGGAAGAATCAAGTGAAGAATTTATATGCTGCAAGTATTTTCACTAAAGGTAGTTTGATGCATGATAACGTATTATATACATGTACATGTATTTAGCTTATGAATAGGATTAAGATGAGGGTGTTTCTGGGAATTGCATGCGATTCATGAAGCAATTGATGCTGAGAAATAAATTCAACACAAGAGGCCCAAAGGGCCTGAATCGCTCACCTGGTATTAATCTCACAAATAATCTTAAAAAAGTGAACTAAAATACAGCTACAGGCAAAATATCAGTGTTTGACTCATAAGAACCTATTAAAAGATTTAAACATATGACGCCTGTGACCTTGAATGTCGAACAAGGACATATTTAGGTTGAACAGAGTTTATAGTCGTCCAACCAAGCATGTTCCTGGCAAGATATCATTACCCTGGACCTTTTGGTTATACAGAAGAAGTCATTTAAAGATTTAAACATATATTGACCACTGTGACCTTGAATATGGGCTTAGGTCATTCATTTGGAACAAAAAAACTGGTAGTCCTTAATCCCAGCATGTTAATGGCCAAATATCATCACCCTTAGCCTTTTGCTTATTGAGAAGAAGTCGTTTAAGGTTTTAAACATATTTGATCACAGTGACCTTTAATATATGTCAAGGTTATTCGTTTGAACAAACTTGGTAGTCCTTCAACCTAGCATGCTACTGGCCAAATATCATCATCCTAGGCCTTTTGGTTATTGAGAAAAAATTGTTTAAAAGTTTTTAACATATTTGAACCCTGTGACCTTAAAAATAGATGAAGGTCATTTGTTTGAACAAACTTGGTAGCACTTCATCCCAGCATGTAACTGGCCAAATATCATCATCACAGACATTTTGGTTATTGAGAAGAAGTTGTTGAAGGTTTTTAACATATTTGAACCCTGTGACCTTAAACATAGATGAAGGTCATTCGTTTAAACAAACTTGGTAGCCCTTCATCCTAGCATGTTACTGGCCAAATATCATTATCCTTTCCCTCTTGGGTATTCAGGAGAAGTTGTTTAAAGGTTTTAAACATATTTGACCCCTGTGACCTTGAAAATGGGAGAAGGTCATTTGTTTGAACAAACTTGGTAGCCCTTCATCCCAGCATGTTACTGGCCAAATATCATCACCTTAGGCCTCTTGGTTCTTCAGAAGGAGTTGTTCAAAGATTTTAACATATTTGACCCCTGTGACCTTGAAAATGGATGAAGGTCATTCATTTGAACAAACTTGGTAGCCCTTGATTCCAGCATGCTACTGGCCAAATATCATCTTCCTAGTCCTTTTGGTTACTGAGAAGAAGTTGTTTAAAGTAAAAAGTTGACAACGGACAGACGAACGACGCACCATGGCATAAGCTCACTTGCCCTTCGGGCAGGTGAGCTAATAATTTGTGTGAAGTAATGTATTACGTTATTACATGAATGTGTCAGTGTTGTAGTAGAGGATGACTTTAAGTCAACAAGAGGCCCAATGGGCGTGCATCGCTCACCTGGTATTAATCTCACACTTGTAAACTTAAAAGTGGACTAAAATACAGATACAGGCAGAATATCAGTGTTTGATTCATAAGAACCAATAAAAAAAATTAAACATATGACACCTGTGATCTTGAATGTCGAACAAGGACATTAGGTTGAAGGCGGGTCAAGGTCATTCATCTGAACAAACTTAGTAGCCCTTCATCCCACTACTCTGGGCATTTTGGTTATTGAGAAGAAATCGTTTGAAGATTTTAAGATATTTCACCCCTGTGACCTTGACAGTGGGTCAAGGTCATTCATTTAAACAACTTGGTAGCTCTTCATCCCAGAATGCTACAGGCCTAATATCAGTACCCTGGGCCTTTTGGTTATTCAGAGGAAGTCGTTTGAAGATTTTATGACATTTGACCCCTGGTTCCTTGAAAGTGGGTCAAAGTCATTCATTTGAACAAACTTGGTAGCCATTCATCCCAGCATGCTACAGGCCTAATATCAGTAACCTGGGCCTTTTGGTTATTCAGAGGAAGTTATTTGAAGATTTTATGACATTTGACCCCTGGTTCCTTGAAAGTGGGTCAAGGTCATTCATTTGAACAAATGTGGTAGCCATTCATCCCAGCATGCTACAGGCACAATTTCAGTACCCTGTGCCTTTTGGTTATTGCGAAGAAGTTGTTTGCCTTCGGGCCAGGTGAGCTAATAAATCCACATTAAAGTCACCACTGATTATTGTATGGGAGATATGCTCCGGAAACCTTTCTGACGACATTATGTAGGTCAGAGGCCATGGTAGATGTCACAGTGACCTACATATGGTACGCAACACAATGTCTTCCATGCATGTACCCACAAACTAAGATTCATAACCGTAGGTGAAATGGTACAGGAGACATATGCTCCAGAAACCTTTCTGATGACATTATGTAGGTCAGAGGTCACAGAAGAGGTCAAAGTGACCTACATATGGTATGTGACACATCGCCTTTCATGCATGTACCCACAAACCAAGATTCATAACCTTAAGCGAAATAGTACGGGAGATATGCTCCAGAAACCTTTCTGACGTCATTATGTAGGTCAGAGGTCACGGTAGAGGTCACAGTGACCTACATACGGTAAGTGACACATCGCCTTTCATGCATATACCCACAAACTAAGATTCATAACTGTAGGTGAAATAGTACGGGAGATACATGTATGCTCCGGAAACCTTTCTGACGACATTTTGTATGTCAGAGTTCATGGTAGAGGTCACAGTGACCTACGTATGGTACATGACACATCGCCTTTCATGCATGTACCCACAAACTAAGATTCATAACTGTAGGTGAAATAGTACGGGAGATATGCTCCGGAAACCTTTCTGACGACATTTTGTATGTCAGAGTTCATGGTAGAGGTCACAGTGACCTACGTATGGTACATGACACACCGCCTTTCATGCATGTACCCACAAACTAAGATTCATAACTGTAGGTGAAATAGTATGGGAGATATGCTCTGGAAACCTTTCTGACGACATTTTGTAGGTCAGCGGTAACGGTACAGGTCACAGTGACCTACATATGGTATGTGACACAATGCCTTCCATGCATGTACCCACAAACCAAGATTCATAACCTTAGGTGAAATAGTACGGGAGATATGCTCCAGAAACCTTGCTGTCAACATTTTGTAGGTCAGAGGTCACAATAGAGGTCAGTGACCTACATATGGTACACAACATACTGCCTTCCATGCATGTACCCACAAACCAAGATTCCTAACCGTAGGTGAACTTGTAGGGGAGATATGCTCTGGAAACCTTTCGGACGGACGAAGCAAACACTATATACCCTCGACTTTGTCGAAGCGGGGGTATAATAACACCACTTCTTCATACTATGAACATTTTTGGCATACAAGAATAATAAGAATGAAAAATCCTATATTTTACATCAAAATTTTCACAAAATGTTCGATTAAACTCGCATTCTGGATGATAAACATATTATTAAAGCACTAAATGAAAGAAAATGTTCTTTCCCAAGTATTACAATGCAAAAAATAAGGGTTTTTTCGGAAAAATACTTTCAGGCTGATATTCCATTTTCGACCCCCATGCTGTAATTAGGTTAGTTGATCCTCTAAATAATTAGTAGAGTGATTCAAAGTAGTAACATCAGATGTATAAAGGATTGAAAAGAGTTCAAACAGCAGCAAGATTCAGAAATCTTGTAGCTTTTCTCAAACAAAAGTTATGAGGGGGCAGGCTCCTATATAACTTTAACATAGCTGAAAATAGTCCCTTTGTAAATGCCTGAAATATTTTAAAAGCTTATGATACTCAGGAAACTGTATGATGATGTGACTAGACTTGAGTGCATTGTTTAAGTGTACAGCTTGACCATGATGCAGAATTACCTTCATATGCAGCCTTAGCTATGAGAACAATATTCGTCACATTTGGTGTCAGCTTGGCAAAAAAAGGGATCTTAATGGCATCTCGTACCCAGCGACAGATGTTTCTAACCATCTCAGGATCCTGTCAGTCATCAAACAAAGACAGTTTTAGTCTATATTCATCAGTTATTAGTAATATTATTGTGGAGTAACAGCTCCATTTACATTTTTCAATTTTTACCAGTAACTACTGAGTATTGAACATAATGACCTCTCTCTCCAAAATGTACATGACAACCTTTCTCCACAATGTGAATGCAACTTCCTAACCCCCTCCCCCACTTGTATGCATTGACCTTTATCTTCCCACATGTATAAAATGACCTGTCTCCACCAATCTGGAAGTAGGGAACCACTCTCCAGACATATGTACTTAACAACTTCTCTTTTCCTACCTACATGTATGAACCAATCTCTCTTCCCCACATGTATGAACCAATCTCTCTTCCCCACATGTATGAACCAATCTCTCTTCCCCACATGTATGAACCAATCTCTCTTCCCCACTCCAAGCCTTAATCTATCAATCTGTACATTGTGATATCTTTCCCACCTGTACTTAGTGATTTCTAACAAAAACAGAATTATATCTTCCACAGATATCCAACAACCTTTTTCTCTTTGTACCCAGTGACTTACCTGTCCACAAGCCAGTCCCATGCCTTTCTCCCCCATACCATGGGGACATGACAGGTTCAGCTCAAGGGCATCAGCACCAGATTCCTGTCAAAGATATAAAATTACTCAGCCAGTTTTTCAACAGAGTGAATCTCAACATATCTACTTCTATCTTTCAATCACTTAAAACTTACTGAAAATAAGTGCGGTTTATGAACTAAGACAAGTCTACACTGACTATATGCACATTACAAGACGTCTTAGCAAGCGTCGGTAGATCTGATTGGTTAGTGTTAGTCATGTGACTGGTCATCTGGTAGAAGATGTTATCAGATCAGGGATTGGTCAGTTTCATCACGTGACTGGTCACTTTCTGCAGTCATCAGCATCTGGAGAGTTTTATTTGGCGCCTGGAATTTCATGTTTTTCATGCTACGACTTTCATCGTTTTCAACGTTTTTATTCTGTTGGGAAGTTCTTATACTTGACTCTTGTGTGCTTGACAGTTCGTTATTTGCTTATTTACTCATGGTTATGCAGTAATTTCCCTGGTGAAGGATTAATTTCCTGACGAAGTTTAGAACAATGGCGAATAGAGGCCGCCGATCGGCTAGTGCTAGTAGTTCCTATGATATGGTAAACCCCAATAACTGGACAGTTGGCACATTAAGGCAGAAGTTACAGGACATGGGTATTTGGACACCGCATTCAATGTCAAAAACTTTGCTAAAAAGCATGTACATCGAAAACGCGAAACGAACAGAGGGCAGGCATACGTCAGCAGCATCAACAGCCAGTGAGCCCGCGGACTTGAGTCCATCTAGCAGCGTCAGGCGGACCAGATCTCGCAATCGCGTGGTGACGGATCAAATTGATCAACTAGATAGCCTTCAAAATTCCATGGATGTCGTGAGCCCAAGCAGAGAATTGGAAAGTAATAACGACAGACCTTGGGCGGAAGTACCTGTTTCCGCATCAGTCAGGGTTGCACACGCACCTGCACAATCCAATATGGCGGCCCCCATGGCTAACACCATGGCACAGCTACAAACGACCGTCAACCTTCTTCTTCAACGAGACATGGAGAGGAACTCAGTGGGTAACGGCATGCAACAAATCCAAACAAACTGGAGACAGTTATGGCGAGTTTAGCGGGGAGAGATGAGGAAACAGCGACTCTGACGAACACCACCATACGTCCGGAGAACATCACAGGTTCGTACCCACACATTTAAAGTGACGGCGTTGCCCCAGATTGTTTGCCATCGTTATAGACATGGTGTCAGGCAGTCTGAGGAAGCAGATCTTAGAAGGGAAAGATGTTAATTTAGCGGCTTTGCTCATTCCCGAATATGAGATGGCTAAAGATACGGTAGTGCACACTACGGGGGTTCAGTTCAATATCAAAGCCCCAGCAGATCCCAGGCTGCACAAGAACCTCAGTATAAGTGAAGTCATTACATCTTTCGGCAAATACAAACGTATCATGTGTACCAGGTTCCCAAACAGGAGAGATGAACTTGACAGATAGCAAGACAATATTATAGAAATTCATAACTTGTACAGAGCAAAGTTTTATGAGTATCATAAACTTTTTTCTGCTAGGAGTGCCTACGCTCTACACCAACTCAGCACTAAAGACAACTGGTCCCTGAAGGACAACAACCTATTAACAATGATAATGGCTGGTGCTAAGGTTCATGCATGCTCTTGTGGAGCCAGTTCACACACTCCGGATTTCTGCCCTTTGCTACTCGGTGCTCATCATAATAAGTATCCCCACACAGCCAGCACACAGATGTACGACTGCGCTCACCACCAGTCTAAGCCATATTCCAGGGCTCCTCAACACATGTTGGCTAACAATAGAGGGACCGATGATAGAAACCAACAACCTGCACCATACAAGACAGGAGATGATCGACATGGAAGGTCCAGAGTCGTAGTGGAAGGTGTAGAACTGTGTAATAATTACAACAATGGCAGATGTTTCAGATCTTCTTGTGTGTTTGACCATGTTTGCAAAAACTGTAAAAATGGTGCTCACCCTGCTGTGTTATGTCCAAACAAGAGGCCCATGGGCCTAAACGGTCACCTGAGTCTACAGTATTTATTTTTGTTGTTGAAATATGTACCAATTTGAGTAAAAAATAGTATAATGTTAACTTAACTTTGTCAGGACCATGAGCTGATCATTCCTAGACCAATTTTAAGTGAGATCGGCCTATTAGAACTTAGTAGCAAAATAGCGGCCATGGCAGCCAAATTGTATTTCTGATTGACCCGAAAAATAACAACACTTTGTCAGGACCATGATTCGATCATTCCTACAAAGTTTCAGTTCAATCGGCCAAGTAGATCTTTACTTTAAGTTTGAAATAGTTTTCCAAAATGGCAGCCGTGGTGGCCATATTGGATTTCTGATCGACCC